TCCATTCAACAGGAACTATTAGTAAGTGAAAGTTGAAAGTGCAGATGCTTCTCAAAATCACACTACTAATATTTTAGATTAGATGATTTTTGCCTTTAAATGGGGTTTTTGCTGCATGAACTCAGTCTCTGGTATGGAGTGAAACATTGTGAGTGGGGGACAAAGGTAAATACAACTTTGATCTAGAAGCAGAAGCCTCATAACTCTTATTGGACCACTAAACAAGAACAGGCAGGTTTAATTGACTTCTCTTTAAGTCTTGTTACTATGAGCAGGGCAGAGTGTTAGAAAAATGTTATTTTCTTCATATTTCTCTCTCAAAGTTGCTTTGGGTATTTAGCAGCACTTTTAGACTCTTACCCTATCATGTAACAAGAAAAACACATTGATTAAGTGACTGAAGTTGTGAAACTCACCAAGTGTCAGAGGTGATTGAATTAAGACAGTTAAGAGAGCTTTATTTTTTTATTAAAATTGATGTTTCTTATTTTGTTAATGAATAGGGGCAAAACTTTTACATACAGATATCTTTTACATAAAGATAATTCCTATTAGACTGCACTGTGTACACTGTGGTTGTCCTGGGGGTGTTTCTGGGTGCAGACATGCAGGGTTAGGTGGTATTCAACAGTGCTACTCTGGAGATCAAGGTTTGGTTTACATTTGGCACTGGGTGTGTGACTGGAGACCCATCCAGGATCCATCTTCATCTGTGAACAAGTGTTCAGGCCCTGAAATATTGGCCAGGGAGGTGGTGGAGTCACCATCCCTGGAAGTGTTTCAGAGGCATTTGGATCTGACACTGGAGGATCTGGTTTAGGGTTTAGGGGTTCCAGCAGTGACAGGTTAATGGTTGGACTCAATGATTTTAGAGGTCTCCTCCAACCTTAATTTAATGATTCTTCTATCTGAAAGCTAAAATTTTAAAGTGGGAGGATATTCTGCAGTGTGAACTGTTGCTGTGAGCTTTTTAGTTCCTGAAGGTAATGTGCAAGAGAGTCTACAGAAAACAAAGTAAACACATCTTTGGCTAAAATAATACCATTTTATGTATAGAATTTGACATATGATTCGCCCAGCTAAAAGCAAGGCTCAGGATTTGCTCTTGTGAAAAGCTAAAATTTTAAAGTGGGAGGATATTCTGCAGTGTGAACTGTTGCTGTGAGCTTTTTAGTTCCTGAAGGTAATGTGCAAGAGAGTCTACAGAAAACAAAGTAAACACATCTTTGGCTAAAATAATACCATTTTATGTATAGAATTTGACATATGATTCGCCCAGCTAAAAGCAAGGCTCAGGATTTGCTCTTGTGAGACCCCACCTGGAATACTGCACACAGTTCTGGTGCCTCAACATGAGAAGGACGTGGAACTGTTGGAGCAAGTGCAGAGGAGGCCACAAAGTTGCTAAGAGCACTGGAGCATCTCCCTTGTGAGGACAGGCTGAGGGAGTTGGGGCTGTTCAGCCTGGAGATGAGAAGGTTATGTGGAGACCTCAGAGCAACTTTTCAGTCTCTGAAGGGCCTAAAAGGAGCTGGAGAGGGACTCTGTGTTAGGAACTGCAGGGACAGGACAAGGGGTAATGGGGACAAATTGAAGGAGGGGAAATTTAGGTTAGATCTTAGGCAGAAGGTTTTTCCTGTGAGGGTGGTGAGACACTGTCCCAGGTTGCCCAGGGAGGCTGTGGCTGCCCCTTGAAAAAAAAAAAAGCTGGGTTCGATGAAGCCTTGAGGAACCTGCCCTGGTGGGAAGTGTCCCTGCCCAGGGCAGCGGGTTGGGACTAGATAATCTGTGAGGTCCATTCCAACCCTTAAATTCTATGATTATATTCTAGGCTGTGATGCAGTGGTAGTGATAGGAGAGTCAGAGTTACCCATCAAAAGTTCAAGGTTAAAACAGGAGAACTTATCTATTTAAGCTTATATATTATATTGTATAAAATACATATGAATATATATGGCATGTACTCTTCAAGGTCCCTTCCAAACCAAACCATTCTCTGATTCTATTGTTCTCTGATTATAATTAGCATCAAATTGCAACTGTCCTTATGTTCAAATCTGCTTTGCTGCTTCTATATGACAGTTCAGAGACCCTAGCCACTGGGCTAATGGTGTGAGGAAGAAAAGCACCATGTCCAGGGAGTGGGGGAGGTGGGTCAGCAGTCACTGAGGGTGGCAGAAGCCTCTGGCTGTCTATTAGCATGGAAGGATGACACTGTGTGTGTGTGTGCTGTGCTGCAGGGCTGCTTTCCCCTTGTGCCAGTGTCAAAGGCTTGTCCCCGCTTCCCTCAAATTCGATGTGGATTGCTGGATATGGGTCTTGTCTGTGCTTCCAGAATTTACAGTTTTTCCATTGGAATGAAGTGTTAAAAGAGGATAATTCAGAATTTTAGTGTTTTTGCTTCCAGAGATATTTGCAGGCTCAGCTGAATATCTCTTCTTGTTAAGCTAAATGGGACTGATTCTGGAGACTCATTCTTGTATTTCCCATGCCCATCTATAGGATTTATTGAGCATTAGAGTTCAAAATCTTGTCAAAAAGATGAAGTGGGGACTCCTAAAGCACCTTGGAAAAAATGTGCATTATTTCCAGTCTGTCAAAAAGAAGGTTGTAGTAAAAGTTACCTTACAGCCAGAACAGAATCAGAGAATGATCAAAGTTGGAAGAAACCCTTGAAGATCATCCAGTCCAACCCCTGGCCCTGCACAGGACATCCCTGACAATCACACCCTGTGCCTGAGAGCATTGGCCAAACACCTCTGGAGCTCTGTCAGCCTTGGGGCTGTGCCCACTGCCCTGGGAGCTGTTCAGTGCCCAAACACCTCTGGGGGAAGAACCATTTGCTAATCTCCAGCCTAACCCTCCCC